CAAATTGAGGAACTCGGCAAGCTTAGCGGCTGCTGCGTTTGCTTACTGTGCATAAGATCGTGGGTTTATTATCAAATTCCTCAAAAAACTAACAATCATATGCATTTGGTTGTATCGCCTGGTTGAGGCGTATCCTAACCAAATACCGTACCCAATACTCCAACTCCGTAGTACTTATGAGGGTGTCACTAATTCGGTGGCCTCTCGTTGAGTAAGTAGCTGGGAATAGTGACAGTCATGCTTTCAGTATTCTTGTTTAGATTGGAAATAATGTTAACTTCCTAGCAATATTCCTGAACGCAGTCTGACTAGGAATTTCAAAAGAGCCGTGAGTGTCACTAGTATCCGAAGTATACCGTAGCAACGCTAACGCTATCGCTAATGTGTTGATCGGAATTACATATAAAATCCTTCTCAAGAGCAGTTTTTGTCGACGTTGGTAAGATCACCGCTGGGATCGATACCTAGTGGAACTTGATCGTAATTTTTTATGTGATTTAAGGAGCTCGTTGGCCTTGTGGCAACCAATTATGGAGGTTTGAAAATTTTAGGCTTTTTTTCTATCATTGATTTTTTCATCGCGTCAGCCCGAAAAAATGTGCCACTCAATAACATAATTCTAGCAAAGAGCTTTAGTGCAAAGCAAGTGCAAGTGATCGGGTAAAATGCATTTCAAAGTGGTTTTTTTTATCGGCATCCTTTTCGTCAGAACTGTTATTAGGCAATTGGCAATGGTTTAAAGTGTTGAGATAGAACTAGGAGATGCAACAGGCTTCCATGTTTTTGCTTCACGGGCATCGTTCATTCGTTCATTTGGTGAGATCGTTCCTGTTTATATATTCACCTGTTTTGATTTCTACAACTTTGTCTTAGACATCATTTCGAAGAGCGCTTTCATGCTGTATTTTGATGAGAAATCAAATGTTGAGTGCGCTATTGTCAAAGGTTGGGAACGAGTGATTATGGCCAAGCTCTAACATAGATTTCCCAATTCGTTCATTCGGCAAGAGAGTCGTCCTATTGCTTTTTTTCTGGTTTTAGTCGTTTGATGTTTTGTACCTTAAAGATCAATTTTTGTGATCATGAATTGCCAGAAGAATTTTTGAACTAGTTTCGCAATAACCCGGAAAGGCTTGGAAGTGCCAGTAGTGCAGCAGGACAGTAGGAGTACAAAATTAATGAAACTTGCTGAGATCTTCCCTTTATTTTCATTTATATGTGTTTTTTTTTATTTATAATATATTTTTGTTCTATTGCTCTCTCCTGAAATCTAGCTCTCACCTGTTCGTATTCAGCGTTGGAAAATTTTGCGAGGTTTTATGAAGCACACAAAATGAAAAGTTCGCGAGTCATTGTGAGTTTCAGCGAACTTTTCCTGTAGATTGAATAAAGACCCGTTTTTTCAGATTTTACACAAGGGAAGATAGAACTAGGGTTCCTTCCTCCTCTTCTTTTTCCTACGGCCTTTTATTCCTTTTTTTCTTTTCAGAAAGCGAGTAATGACGCTATAACCATAAGTCATATAGGGCTAAGACAAGAGCTAGTGCTCATGTCCCAACCACTCGAGGAAAATGGACCATCATTTAACTTTTTTAGATTAGATGCTCGCAACGACCAATCATTTATAGATAACAATACAACGGAACGTATGGTACGAGATGTCCACGTTTCATCCATTTATTGGATTCTGAAGCATCGTGTTTAAATATTTGATTTAAACAGGCCCGATGTTTCTGAATAATCTTGCCCCTTAAATGCTGCACAGTAGGCCTGGCCGTTTTGATATATTTTGCGCATCTCTGATGGACAAAATATACCAAATAGACAAGAAAAAGGATGGAGGTATATCTATCATTTTCCAGGATGCTTTCATGAACTGGCTGTATTGGTGTAAGATTAGATTAGATTAGATTACATAATCACTTTTCAGGATCAACGATTTTTCAATAGTAAGACGTATTGTGACATACACAAAACTAAGGGTAAACAACAAAAGAACCTTAATTCATTTCCAAACAAGGAGAAAAATGCCTTTCGCATATCAAAAATTATATCATATTTTAAAACAAAAGTTAAATTAAATTTACTTAATACTACATTCAGTGTAGCATCATACACCGTTGTACTGAATACGGTTGATCTGATTACGACGCTTTGTGCATCCAGTAATTCGAAACTGCATTCCATCGAAATGATAAAATAAAAAAAGGTAATGATCGAAGTAATAAGAAGACTTTCTTTTGATATTTAAAACATTAAAACTAATTTACAACTCTCGCCAATGTATCATTTTTATTAAGTATCCTTCATCCTTCAACATTTATTAAATAATCGACTTATTCCCATTGTTATGCTGAATGGAAGATCTCAAGGTGTATCAAGTTGACGTCATTTGGAAACGTAGATCATAAGGGTAGCTTTTTTGTTAAATCGAAAGCGAAACATTGATCGTGAGAAAATACCAATAAAATAAAATAAATATTATGAAATATTACGTCTTATTGACATAACAAACATCAAGTGCGAATTTCTTTATATAAACTGGTTATTTCCAGCATAATACTGCATGAGTGAAGATGACGTGAGCTGACAATAACCAATGTGTAGCTCTGGGAAGATCACCAGTTGTTTATACTAATGAATATGGCACGTTTCCGTCCACACCCTACAAACAGAACATCATTATGTCTCTTTTTGTTCGTCATAAGAACTAAGCAAACCCACTACTGGATGCATTACCAAAGCTCTCTTCCCATAATTATCCATAACAATTTTTTGGTGCCAAAACATTAACTATGTAACACACTTAAATAAAAAAAACACAAATTCACAGGCTTCATCTCTATGGACCAGAAAGATGAAACTGACCAACCTTAATGCTTGCGTTTGTCTCTTCCATCGCTGATTCGCCTTCACCTTTTTATGTTATAAGTCTTGCACGGCTTATACAGAATGGAACGGAGTAGTGACCCTGAAGACGTGAGAGAAATATATCTATAATGTAAGCCCCCGATGAGGACTCGATGACAGCAGCGTTTAGACTTTCGTAAATGTTTGATCACAAGCATAAGCTTCAGGGAAGGGCTCCAAGAAATCGGCTAATTTAAAACAAATCAATGATAACGCGTTGGCCTTGTAGTGGCATCGATAGACATTAGACTGGCCCACAACAATAAAAATTCTAATTTTTACACGGGCCAACCTCTAGTTTTGTGCCTTTAGGTGAGAAAATCATTCTCTGAAAGTTTTAGCTCATTTAGTTGTAGGATGAACTGGCACTTTTCGATCGAAGTTTTATGGGGATTTGTATAAAATACTGAAAAAATTACACTCCTACACTCTATCGATCATAAAAAAATCCTTATTCTCGATTTGAATCAAATTTTCAAAACTTGTAGTACATACACTGGGTAACAACTTTGCTGAGACTGCATTATGAATCCGGTTAGTGTTATTGAGATATTCGCTTTTGAATGTATATGACCATTTTGTGTATGCAAATTTGAGCCAAATCTCTTACATAAACATTAAACCAAAAGCAGCAGTCCGAAACATTCATAGAGTGGTTATCTCACCTACTGACACTAGTCTGGATTATGGCCTGTGGAAAACATGAACTTTTATTTTTTTTAGTGGTACGTTACATAGGCCGCCTAAATTTTGTTGCAATATACGAACAAAATACACATATAAATTCAAGAATGAATATATCCATAATACTAACTTAAATCATGATGCTGTCTTCAGCAAAGTTGTTTCTTATAGATTAAGCTACATTTTAAGCTTAGAAGAGCTTGCTGAACCACGCAAAAGTGAAGCAATGTTATATCTCAATACATTTCGAAAAAATCCCCGTATAAACTTTAAGCCAAAAGCGCCAGCTCGTGTTACATCCGAATGAGCTGAAATTTTTAGAGTGTGGTTTTCTCACCTAATGGCATAAATCTGCCGGGTAATGACGCCTACGGTAATACATTTACCTATTATTGTCGATGCATTCAAACATCTGCACACAGATGTATCCGCGTGCAAAAAATTACCCTAAACTAAATCTTAAAATACGGTCTGCTATCTTTGGAAAAAATGTCCATGAAGATAATATCTTACAATGCTTAATCACGATACACACATGGAAAAGTGTGAGAAATATCTAATATTTGTTTCAAGTGAATCAAATAATAAACAGATAAACACCGGTTCATCTCAAACGAAAATGGCATTTTTGGGGATTTCTGAACCTTCTTCTTCCTTGATTATGCCTGCCTTCAACTAAGCGTTCTTCGCGAACTTACACAGATGTTAATTGAGAGCATTCCCCGTGAAATTTTCGCATTACTATATTGAGAAATTTGTCCAACCCGAACAATTCCTAGACAGGTCCAGGAATCGAACCCTGTTACCTCTGGCATGGTCTAGCTTTAAAGCATGTCTTTACCGACTGAGCTAAAGGAGGCCTCATCAACAGCCTTTTGTGTTCACCTACCGAAACTCTTAAATAAAAATAAACATGCAGTGACATATTCTGTCAACAATACTTTAATAATTGTACGGTCTTCGCCACCAACCACGTTTCGTAAGGCCACTTCAGAAAATAATAAATTATCTTGGGACAAATTTCTGCGCACTCATAAATCTTTCCAGTATGCTCACGGTCGTAAAAGTAGAGCAGTCTTCTGTTCCAATTACAGTTTACTTTTCCATCTGGGTTATTTGCTTCAAAAACAACATCACTATTTCAATTCACCAACCAATTCAAGTCTTTGTTGCAAAGAATGAGTTTTGCTTTTTCTCGTCAATAAACCATCTCAAGTGAGTTCTATTTTATATATCTGATTCCATTTTAATCAAGAACTCAAGTTAATTAGCTAGTCAGACGAATGTATAAAATTATGGCTGATTTCATCTCGAACCGGAACCAGTTGATCATAACTAAATATTATAGACCACCAATTAGATAAACACAGACACAAACTATCTTTTCCGAAGCGAGTATCACATACATGCTTATCTTCTTTAGCCTCAGGGCTAGCACACCGTTGATCTCTACGAATCTATAGTAGAATGAATAAATTGTATCACTCGAACGCACGCCAACCGCACCCAGCACAATAGTAATAGCTTTGATCGACCGTCACTTCAGAGATGCGGAGCTACAAAACAACGTACTCGAACGAAACGCGGGTGCGCGCGCGAAATCAAAAACTGTGTCTTCTTTCAACGCCTTTACTTCCGAGACTAAGTTGGAAGTCGCCGCCGGTTTCAGACAGCATAAACAAGCCGGTACGAAAAGTAAATAATCGTGCTCCCCCCACTAGATGGGTGCTTCCCACTGTGGGCCAATGATTGTTCTTACTCGAGTAAAACGCACCGTTGAAAACGAGAGGGTAACTGATACTATCATTGAGGTATAATACACAGTAGCGTTGTTCAAGGTATAGTGCTACCGGGACTGGAACTGGTAGGGTCGCTACAGCACTAGTATAGTATAGTATAGTTCTCTAGTATAGTATAGGCTGGCGAAGTGTGGTAACAGATGTGGAGTCAATACTGTAATATGGTAACATACCCTATAATAAAACGTATGTGCGTGTTTTACATCTTCATCACTAAGCACGTTTAGCCCTTGAACTTGATACATCATCAAGGACCTATACTGGAGTTTTGATTTGTGAGCATTCACTCAGTGTGAGAGATCACGAATCATAAAATCACTGATTGTTAAATTGACAGGTTCTCCTTCTTGTAATTTACAGGTATAAAATATCTGTATAACATCAAAGGATTTAATTTTTCCGATAAACATTTTTATAGCGAAGTGAGTGGAAGCAACCTTTACTGCAAGAACATTATTCTAGAATATTTTAAAACGCTATTTCGATGATTTACCCCTTGCTTCGGTAGTTTTTCAATTTAAGGATCCCCTGAAAATCTGAAATCAATAGAAAAAAAAAACATTAGCAACCATTGCACCTAAAAAAAAATCTGTGTGGTCGCACTTTAAATAACTCCTAAGATTGAAAACAGTACATAATTCTACATTCTGAATAATGATACAAATGAACAATAGATTTCAATTATAAAATAAAACAGATTTTTCATTATTTTAATAGCATAATACGAGTGTCTAGGGTAGAAATATCTGACCATATTAACTATATTGTGGTCTCCTGAATTAAAGTCTTGAAGATGCATATGTTCTTACGCTTCAGATTTTCTCAGAAAAACTCGGCGGTGCCGACTGGGATTAAAACCCGGGCCCTTTGGGGTGAAAGGCAATCACGCTTATAACTACACCACCGGCACCGCTTTATCCCACCCTCTTTGTTGACTGGGGAATATTTCACTGTTTCTGGCATACTGCTAAAAAAAATGTGGCCTAATTATCGTGCGAATTTGTAGAAACCAATCCAAGAATCACTTTTAAACACAGTTTAAAACGCTCTTGAGGTTTTACTGATCAAATCATAATATTTTTAGTAGCGTTTTAAATTGTTTTGGAAAAAAGTTCCTTATCTGCTTCTCAACATCACCTCTCAAAACAAAATTCATGTCACAAATTTCTGCGCGTATAATTTTAAATGCTCAATGAAATCAACTCTATCCATTGTTCAAATTTTCCTATGAGTTATCTCCAAGCGAAACATGCGTCCCAAAGACTTAAATTACTTTGCTTGCTTAAACGTGTAGTCAAATAATTGAACTGTGATTTATGCAAAATTGCTTGTGCTGTTTGTTGTTAATCTGTTGGAAATTCCAAAAAGGTATTCAATGTTACCGGTTTCTCAATGAGCAAGGGAATCCCATCACTTCATGTGTTTCATTTTATACTATACCTAGTATTGCTTATACTCATAATTTCCACCAGTTGAGTTTACTTTCACAACAAATAGTATTTTTCATGCTATTGATAAATTAATTTGATTTTGTTTACAAGAAACGCCTTCATTCCAGTAACAATCTTGATCATAAAGCTTAATTATAAGTGCTTTATGATCAGCAGCAAACCATAAACAATCATTGAAGGCTTTGCAACCTATCAACGATGATATGTCAAATGCATTACAGAGCGGTAGTTCCATTAGCGGATGCAGAAAAAATCTGTTTTTGCGATTTATCAGCAACACCACTTCATTGTAGTTCACAAGTCACGATTTAGCTGACCGTGATTTGGGTATTCTATTTTCAAATGACAGTTTAAATTCATTGCAAAGGTTCCCGGAAAGAGATTGTAAAAAAGTTCCCACATTAAATACCGTTTCCAAGTTCCAGAGCAGAAACAAACTAATTTTGTGGTTAAAATTTAAAAGGCTAATTTAACAACAAAATTACAAAAACCATATCTAAAGATCAACACACTCAATCCAGTGGCGAAGCATACTGCATCGTTTCGGAAGCCTGTTCACTAAGGTCAGAATTTAATTCATTCCGGTTTCAGTCGTGGATAGGTTGCAGCAATGCGCGTGAGAAGTGGATAGGAATCAGGTACACATTAATGCTACATCTGTCCCACACAGAGAGAAGCACGATAACCAGACAGATCACTTTGCTTCCTCGATAGAAGCTACTTTAGTAAGAACAGAGAGGATCGACTTGCTCACAGTTGACGTGAAAACTATAGCCAAAAGAGCAAATGTCAATGACTTAGTGCTGACACGATTATAGCTTTCTAAAATTGGAATGGTTACATTTGTAAACATGGATTATCGGTAGTATGTTGCTCCTGCCATTTTTAGTTATGATTTTTTTTTCAAATTCAGTAAAGAACCATTATACATGCTGTTCCAAATAAACATTTGCATTATCATGAACTATGTTGCATAACATTTTTCCTAGATTATTGACAGTCAATTATCTGAATGAATGATGTAGACATCGTCCCATTACTCCATAAACAGAACTCGTTGCCTCTGCGATAGATTGATTCAAGTCTACAGGCAAAAGATGTGCGTCATACTTCAAGTCTCCGCGTACATCGTACGAGTTAGGCAAAAGATGTGCGTTTGACTTTAAAAACTGTCGCATTAATGGCCCTTTGCTCATTTTCAACTTCTATTCAATTTCCATACTGTAGTACTCTAACGGAACTATCCACCTACGTTCTTCTAAAGATCAATCTCTAGCTAATAAATTATCACACTAAAGCTTCATGCATTCGAAGATTATTATATAGAATAAATAAATAAATAAGATGGCGTCAAACATAGATTTGCGCTTTCTACATGTCACCCCTTTTCCTAAAATAGCCTATGGGGTATTTCATAGTATTTTCAAGTTTCTCAGAATCGCAAAAAAAAACTCGTTAAAAAACTTGTGGAATTTTCTTCGTAAAAAAAATTCGTTATTTGGGATTTAATTTGTAAAAAGAGCGACATAAACAGAATACCGTGTAAAACACAACATCGTTAAATGAGGTTTCAGTGTATAACAAGAAAAATATTAGAAATATGTTATTGAATATTGAAGTGACGAACCAGCCACTGCACAGTGGTCCAGAATGCAGGTTTAGGTGGAATGATATGTTTTGAGCCTGAAATTGAAACTTTAGACTAAAAATCTCTCCTTTAAAGTTGTTCCTTATAGTTAGGCCCTCATTTTTATGACAATGAATTCTAGGGTGGTTCCTATTATCATTACAATCAAAAATCTAACTTTTTTGTTTGAATAAATTAAGGTATATATTCCTCCTTAAAGTTACAGCTGAGCTAATTTCAAGCAACTTTGTTGAAAATAACTTTTTTATATCTCTTATATTGGCCGATTTAGAGCTATTTTCTTGAATTGAGTTAGGGTGGCTCTTAAAAAAACAGTTGTTTTGCTCTAGTTTTCTTTTTTCGAATTTCTCAGCCAAGGTGTCTTCAAATAACTTTTCGATCCTAAGAAGGCGCAAATTTTTGCTACACAAAGTTTGTCAATATCTTTCACCGATCAAGAGTTATTGACGTTTTTATACTAAAAATAAGCACTTTTCAAATGTTGAAAATGGTTGGGGCAAACAAAAAAAAAAAGGTTTTTTACGGCATTTGAAAGGGCGTATGTTATTCTTTTTTTTTTCCTTTGGTTTGTTTTTTCCGTCGTTCTTGTTTACCGTGCTGAGCACCAATGCTACCGACGTACCAGGAAGGCAGCTCCCACACCTGGACCCTACCTATCGACCCATCAACTCATGAACCGGGGACCAGCGGCTTTACTTCCCATCCGAAGGAAAGCTTGATCAGAGATGTTATGCCTCAGAACATCCCGGCGGCGCTGACTGGGATTGAACCCAGGCCTTCTGGGGTGAGAGGTAATCACGCTTACAACTACACCACCGGCGCCGTTGTATGTTATTCTCAATCATATGAAAAAAAATATGGAGGTATGTTAGTTTTTAAACTCGTATAAAATCAATTTGAATTTATTCATATTTTTTACTTTATTTGAGTATATCTTTTCTTTTTATTAGAAGAGATACAGGCAACAGATTCAGCTATAAAACATTCAACTTAAAGAGTTTTAAAAGTCTCTAGCAGATGACTTTCATGATAAATTTCAAATAAAAAGTTATTGGCAAAAGATGGATTTCATATTACCACTCTAATGACAAATTTATATAAAATGTGCTAATACATTTGTTTCAATAATTGGAAATTTAGTGTTTTCGAAAAAGTTTTTGTTCTTAAAAATTCCCTTCTTTTGGTGTTTGCAAACGTCAGGGTGGTCCTAAAATTAGGGAATTTTTAAAACTAACTTTTTTGTTTTACAAAATAAAAACATGTGTTGTTTAAAAAAGTTGTAGCTAAGTTAATTGCAAGCAACTTTGTCAAAGAAATTTTTTTTCTATCTCTTAACGTTCTCATTTTAGAGTAATTTTTCGGAGTTGACTTAGGGTGTTCCTGGAAAAAATAGTTTTTTAGCACTAACTTTTTTATTTGAAATTTATCATGAAAGTCATCTTCTAAAGACTTTTAAAGCTCTTTAAGACGAATGTTTTATATCTGACTTTGTTGCCTGTATCTCTTCTAATAAAAAAGATTTACCCAAATATATCAAAAAATATGAATAAATTCAAATTGATTTTATACGAGTTTAAAAAATAACATACCTCCAATTTTTCCATATTATTGAGAATAACATACGCCCTTTCAAATGCCGTGAAATTTCTTTTTTGTTTGCCTCAACCAGAGATATTAACATTTGAAAAGTGCATATTTTTAGTATAAAA